TGAGTTGCGGGTCACCCCGGGGGCGCATCAAAAAAAGGTTCCCTACATAAGATTTTCCTCTGGTTCCATTTCTTAACCTCCAGATGGACCCTAGAGTCCCAGATTCATGTGATGCTCCAAGTGAGTGAGAACTAGGAGAGAAAAGAATGAGATGTGCCCTTCACAACCAGAGCCTAGATCCACCGTGCAAGCTGACTGGGGGCCTAGAGAAGAGCAGCAGCGACAGTGGGAAGGACAAGAACTCAGTGTTCCTCCAGGATTTATCATCATCTAAGATACGGCACATAATTCAAGAAAGCCATGTTAACGTGTGACATCCAAGGCCATTCATAAAGGTCTCAGAACAAATGAAGGATTCATGTGTTCCGATTAGCAAGAGCCTAACTGGAGTAAAAAGGTGACCTGCACAGCTCCTCTGATCCCTCCTAAGACGGAGAACCCACCACCTTAGGAAAAACATAGCTTCTGATGTAATAGGATGTGTTTATCCTGCCTAGGAGAGAAAATAGCATGCTCACCTTCAGACAGAAAAGGCAGAGAATTTTTAGCCTTTTTTGGAAGAAAGGAGCAAGTAATTGTTAATAACTCTTCATCTAACTCTCAGATCTTCAATTCACAGCTACTTTAATCACTCCAGAGGCCATAAAAATTTCTCAAGGAGTGTCCTAAAATGTAAATGCTAACAACATTTACCAGAAAGCCAACTTAGTTTTAGTTTAAACCTAAATTCTCAAGTGAACTAGCTAATTTAATTTAGCTCTAATGTGGTACATTTCAAAAGGGACCAGGGATAAAAATGGAGAGAGCCAAGGTGTTGAAAAGTACAAGGTCCATAAACAGCCTTCAGCTACACAGCAGCTCAGCAATCTGGAACAATTAATTTTCTTCCCCAGAAGCTTCTGACTCTTAGAGCAAATGCACACACCCACCCTTTGTTGTCTAAGAGACCAGGGTGATGAAAGGGAAAAGGAATTCTCCCCAAGATCAACATCTGACCACCAGAAATAGGACTGCCTTCACACTGAAACAATTCTCCATGGTCCTATTGTTCTACTTTTTTCTAATGATGGAAAAATCTAATTCCAGGGAAATGCTAATAGCTTCATTATGTGACCACAGGGCTAATCAGTTATATAGCTAAAGAGTTTGGGGGCTAAGCTATAAGGTATTTTTGGAACAACATCTGATCTCTTGAAATAAATCTATTGTTACCAAGGATTTAGTAGTTTAAGCAAAACTCCCACAGGATGGAGACCCAAAGGACCAAGACTAAAAGGATTTCATTCAGAACATGCTAAGGACTGACCCAGGCTGGGGATACTCAGGCTGATACTTGGTAGGTCCAGTTCAATGCAGGGTGGGTGCCAGCGCGGATGAAGAGCAGAAAAACAAACTAACAAACAGGTGCTTGGAACCATGTTGGGAGCAAAATATAAGACAAGCACTCAGAAAATTCTGGCAAACCATGGAGGAAGGGTCAGAGGAGTCTAGATCTCTGTCAGTAGAGTAGGCCTAAGGAAGGAACCCTTGGTCATGTTAAGGAAGTAAGAATCAACATTTTTCCTTAGTTGGATGCACCTGCCCATCATGAGAACAGTTTTTGGGCAAAGAACATGAAGAAAGCCTCCAGGTGCCAGGGAGCCCTGGGCAGAAGGTAAGGAGGTTTGGGCAAACAAGGCTGCTCCCCTGGGCCAATCCACCAGACAGGAGAAAGTCACATCCCCCAAGGCCACCCCAGATAGGAGAAAAGAAGGAAGCCACCTAACATGTGCAAATTTACCCATGAAAAAAGTCCTTGTTTCAGGGGACACCCACATCCCCACATCAGAACTCTCTCCAGTGGTCTGTCACATGGTCCTAAAAACATCTCAGATGGGAGACTGGGAGCGATGGGCCACCACCTCCCCTGACCTGGCCCCACAATCACCACAGGTCGATTGTGGCAATGCCACTGCTCTGGGAAAGTGACAATCCTCAAAATGTCCCCACAACTCTGGCAACTGCCTCAGATTGAAAGATCCCTTTTATATTTTCATGCCCAAAACTACCCGACCCTTACATTCCACAATTACCTTGGTGACACTGTACCTCTACATCTTAGCAACTGTAGGTAAGAATCATAGAAGTGTTAGCTATGATAATTATTTCATTCCATTTCCTTAAGGGCTTCTTCTTTCCTCTTAGAAAATTCCTTAGAGCCCTACGCTATCAATAATAATGATAATAATAGTGGTAGTAGTCATAATAGCTCACGTGTATTGAGCACTTACTGTGCTAAGTACTATGCTAACGGCTTTACACATTTCCATTTCCTGCCTAGTTAAATCATGTCCCATCAGCTCTACGGGGTAGCTGCTACCATTGTTTCCATTTCACAGGAGAGGAAACTGAGGCACAGTGTGCCAACCTTCATCCCATCTTGTTCCCTCACTTTGTGAGGAACCCCATGCCAAACAGTAAAGCCTCAGAAATCCAAAGTTTATGAGCAGTATTTGTTAACTGCTGGCAGGGAAGGGAGGGAAATACTCTTTGGTCTGGGTTTTTGGAAGAGGACTCTTGACTCCCTTGGTCACAAAATGCACGCAAGATGTAGCTACTCTCCTATTTTGCTGTAGCTCAGGGTACAGCCAATTCTTACCCTAGTGTCTTCTTGGACCTCCCAGTCACTGGAGAAAGTTGCCAGTTGCTGCCCTTGGGAACAGTTTGAAAACTGGAAAAGGCTGGAAAACATCCTTCTGTTCTCTTGAGTGTCTGGAAAGATGGCATCTTGGAAATTGACTCCATGAGGCAAGAGGTTATAATTTTCATCCATCCTAATAGAAAAAAGGAAAAAAGCAGAGCTGTAGACTGGATACATATGGGGTGTACCATCCTGAATCAAGAGTCAATAAAAGACTGTGACAGTGTTGCCGATTTTATGACAATGTCTTTTTTTTAATTAAAGTATTGTTGATTTACAATGTTGTGCTAATTTCTGCTGTATAGCAAAGTGACTCAGTTATACACATATATGTACTTTTCAAAATATTCTTTTCGGGCTTCCCTGGTGGCGCAGTGGTTGAGAGTCCGCCTGCCGATGCAGGGGACACGGGTTCGCGCCCCGGTCCGGGAAGATCCCACATGCCGCAGAGCGGCTGGGCCCGTGAGCCATGGCCACTGAGCCTGCGCTCCGGAGCCTGTGCTCCGCAACGGGAGAGGCCACAACAGTGAGAGGCCCGCGTACCGCAAAAAAAAAATATTCTTTTCCATTATGGTTTATCCCAGGAGACTGGATATAGTTCCCTGTGCTATACAGTAGGACCATGTTGTTTATCCATTCTAAGTGTAATAGTTTGCATCTACTAACTCCAAACACTCAGTCCATCCCTCTCCCTTCCCCCCATCCTCCTGGGCAACAAGAAGTCTTTTCTCTTTATCTGTGACTCTGTTTCTGGTTTGTGGACAGATTCACTTGTCCCATATTTTAGATTCCACATGTAAGTGATATCATATGGTATTCGTCTTTCTCTTTCTGACTTACTTCAGTTAGTATGATAATCTCTAGTTACACTCATGTTGCTGCAAATAGCATTATTTCGTTCTTTTTTATGGCTGAGTAGTATTGCATTGTATATACACCACATCTTCTTTACTCATTCATCTGTTGATGGACATTTAGGCTGTTTCTACATCTTGGCTATTGTGAATAGCGCTGCTATGAACATAGGGGTGCATGTATCTTTTTGAATTATAGTCTTGTCCATGTATATGCCCAGGAGTGGGATTGCTGGATCATATAATAGTTCTATTTTTAGTTTTCTGAGGAACCTTCATACTGTTTTTCATAGTGGCTGTACCAACTTACATTCCCACCAACAGTGTAGGAGGGTTCCCTTTTCTCCACACATTCTCCAGCATTTGTTATTTGTAGACATTTTAATGATGGCCATTCTGACCGACATGAGGTGGTACCTCATTGTAGTTTTGATTTGCTTTTCTCTAATAATTAGTGACGCTCAGCATCTTTTCATGTGCCTGCTGGCCATCTGCATGTCTTCTTTGGAGAAATGTCTGTTAAGGTCTTCTGCCCATTTTTTTGATTGGGTTGGTTTTTGTTGAGTTGTATGAGCTGTTTTTAGATTTTGGAGATTAAGCCCTTGTCTGTCACATCATTTGCAAATATTTTCTACCATTCCATAGGTTGTCTTTTCTTTTCTTTTTTTTTAAGGTTTCTTTTGCCGTGCAAAAGCTTGATTTTGATTAGGTCCCGTTTGTTTATATTTGTTTTTATTTCTATTGCCTTGGGAAACTGACCTAAGAAAACATTGGCACGGTTTATGTCAGAGAATGTTTTGCCTATGCTCTCTTCTAGTTTTATGGTGTCATGTCTTATGTTTATGAGAGAAAGTCTCATAAAGGCACAAAGTCTTTAAGCCATTTTGAGTTTATTTTTGTGCATGGTGTGAGTGTAATTTCTAACTTCACTGATTTAGATGCCACTGCCAATTATACGACAATGTCTTACATGGCTCTCATTAGAGGAGTGACTTTGTTTCTCTGCCTCACATCACATGAGTCTATTCTTAAGGTTTTCAAAAAACGTGAGTTGGGGAATGGGGGAGTGTGCGCATGTGTCTGTTTGTCTATTTGTGTCTCCCAAGTGGCCTTCCTTCTCAGAGTCTTTCTTGGTGAAAGGAAAGCCAGTTGTAATGAGCCGGGATTCAAATCCCACCATTGCTACTTATCTCCTGTCTGACACAAAGTGAATTTCTTAAATTCTCTAAGCTTCAATTTACAATCTATAAAAAGAGGGTGACAACAGCGCCTTATTATTTAATGGTGATGTAAGGATTGCATTTTAAAAAGTAAGTAAAGCATCTGGCACAGAGTGAGGACAGTATGAAAATTAGTTAACATTTTTACAGAGCCTCACATAAAGTACCTGTTGGCAAGATAAAGTCAAGAAAAGGAAAACGAGAGATGGGAGTTACCCTCCAGCCCAAAGGGGGCATTTAGGGGTCACCAGGGAGTCTCCACTGCCACTTTCTCCTGTGACACTGACCAGAATCTGTTCTCTTCTCAGTGGGTCCCAGAATAACAGAAGAGGAATGATTTGTATGCAGTTGTTAACACACATCAGGGCAACACAGCCCTGAGAAATAGAAATCTGTCAGACTACCATTTGACTCTGTATTTCTACCCTAACGTTTTATAAACATATCAGAGCAAAAGATGAAAGAGCTGGCTGACCACCGCAGAGCCAGCAGACAAAACCGTATTTCATTATAAAATCGGAAAAGAAAATAATGTCTTCTCAAGTACTCCAGCTCATTTTTCTTTCTTTCTTTTTTTTTGTGGTACGCAGGCCACTCACTGTTGTGGCCTCTCCCATTGCGGAGCACAGGCTCCGGACGCGCAAGCTCAGCGGCCATGGCTCACGGGCCCAGCCGCTCCGCGGCATGTGGGATCTTCCCGGAATGGGGCATGAACCCGTGTCCCCTGCATCGGCAGGCGGACTCTCAACCACTGCGCCACCAGGGAAGCCCCAGCTCTGTTTTCTTGGGAAAATAAAGTTTTATTGTTGAATAGTTTTATAGCTGGGTTCCCAGTGTTTTCCCTAAATAAAGGCATGAAAAAATCTATGTGAAGTTTCTCTGTATCAAGAAGATACTGTCTCACTCCTTGCTGACTTCATTTAGAAACTGTACTTCTAAAGCAATTTAAAAAAACTCAGCTTAATCTAGCTAAACCACCCAAGCCAACACAAAGTACGCCATGTATTCTAAACTTAGATATTCTGGCTTCAATATGGAAAACATGTGTTGACATGAGCTTACCGACGGCCCTCTGTGGAACTTACTGTTTTCTTACTCAGTGACATGAAATCTCGAGAGCTAAAAGTGAGTCTGCAGGCCAAGGCCATGGTCATTCCATATATCCTTACTGCTACTCCAGGGACTGGGAAGACTGGATCTTCTGGATCCCCTGAAGATCAAGATAGCGAGTGAATCCACGGCCCATCACAGCCGTGGATTCACTCGCTATCTTGATAGATACAGAACCTCAAAATGGAATCTAACGTATCAGTTTTCTCCTTCAACTGGAGACAACCAATGCATTTAGGGTTCCACCTGCTGTTTTTTATTTCAAACTTCAGTTGAACCCATCATCTGAATTCTTATCCACACGCATTTCATCGTGACCACAAGACCAACTTTCATGGAACTGCACGAGATTCCAGGAATCTCCAATCAGACAGGGCGTACTACCTAATTCACCTCTATATCTTCAAAGCCCTGTGACACCCCACCCCGAGCCCTTACCGCCCAAGTCCCTTCTCCATAAACCTTTGCTATTTCGAAGAGCCTGGCATTGAGGTCTGCTGGCAGCTGATATGAGCTAACACGAGTGAGTGAAACAAGAGGACAACAGCTGGGTTGCATTCCACACCATTCCCATCTTGGCATTTAAGCAGGTGCGCAGAATAGAGTAACTATTCGTTTCCCAGCTAACCTGAACCAGGTGTTTTGCATGAGTTACTGTGTTTTAGTCTCAACCAGCCTTGTTTCTCACATTATGAAGGTGAGGCTATTGAGGTTCTGGACAAGGTCAGTAACTTGCTCAAAATCACAGGGAGAGCAGAGCCAGAATTCCAGCAACAGTCTGATTTCAAAGGGGTTTTGTTTTGACCACCGCCCAGCCCAAACTACTCCCACCAAATCCAGTTTAAAATATAGGGTCCCACCTATATTAGAGTTCCACCTAAATTAGGGTTCCACCTGTTCTTTATTTCAAACTTGAGTCGTAAGCCATCACCTGAATTCTTATCCACAAGCATTTCATCTGGACCACAAACCAACTTTCATGGAACTCAATCAGAGAGGGCTCCTGCCTGATTTACCTTTATATTCCTCAAAGCACTGCGACCAGGGTCTCCCCGCCCACCCCCCGGAGCCCCCCTGCCGCATAAACCTTTGCTCCTGGAATAGACTGGCTACTTGTTGCTGGAAACCACTTAGAGCTTTTGCCTGAAACACTCTTCTGTCCTTTAAGCGCAGGAATCATCCCTCTTTTGCCAAGTCTTAGCCAGAGGTACCCAGGATGCTGTAGACACGTCGGGAGGTGCAGGAAAGAGTCGAGTACGGGAAGGAGCCCAAGGCATCATCTAACATCGCACGCACGGCCAGGATCCCGTGGGAGGTACTGATCCGGCTCCGAATAAAGGTGACCTCGGTTGGTCACACGCAAATGGCCGAGGGGGTGGTGTGGGCGGGAGGTGGCGGGCTCACCTGAGGAAGAAGAAATAGGCGTAATCCTGGACCACGGTGTGGGAGTGACAGGAGAAGTAGCCCAGGCCGCTGAGGTTGAGCCTGGAGCCCGCGGGCACCTCGAGCATGCTGCCCCACGCCTGGTCGCACAGCATCTCGATCTCGGCCGCGTAGAAGAGCCCCGCCTCGCCGGCCTCGTACTGCCAGGGCAGGTAGTTGTACAGGCCGTGCACCTCTTGGTGCAGCGCCAGCACCTTGGCGTACACGATGATCTCGGCCAGCTCGGCGCGGCAGCCTTCGCTCAGGGGTCTCCACTCTGAGGGCAGCTGGCAGCTGCGGGAGGTCCCCAGCCGGCCGGCCAGGCAGAGCGCGGCGAGCAGCAGCGGGCGCAGCATGCCGGCGGCGGGGCGAGCGGCGGGACCGGCCTGGTGGGCGCTGCGCCCGAGGCGCACTAGCCGGGGCGCATGGCGGGGAGGCCCGGGGCGGAGGTGGGGCGCCGGTGGCGTCGGGGAGCCCGGGGCGGCCGGCCCACGGCGCCGCCCCGCCGGCCGGGAAGCGCAGCCCTGGGCGCTCGGCTCGGCGCGCCGCTCCTTCCGCCGCCAGGAGCAGCCGGCTGGCCTTAGCCCGTGACGCTTTTAAAAGGGCGCGGGGAGGGCCGCCCGCCGCCTCCTCCTGCCCCCAGCGGCTGTGGCGTGGACGGCGGCGGGAGGGGCGGAGGCGGGACGCGGGCCAAGGGCGCGCGAAGCTCGGGAGACGTGGGGCGCTGGACCCGTAGCCCCGGGCCAGGCGCGGTGTTTGGGTAGCGCCGGGCTCCGCGGAAAAGCCAGTGCTGGGAGCGGCGGCCCAGCCCTCTTGCAGCGCCCCGCGGACCGAGTGGTCGAAGCTTTCCAGGCGCAAAGCCTGTTCCAGATGTGGCGTCCTTAGAATGATCGCTGTCAATTGCCATGATTAGTCTGTATACATTTTTGCATTTTCTGTAGTTCATTTAGAGTCAAATACATAGAAATCTAACTTTACCATCGCAGAGGTCAACTAGGCAATTCGATGTGATATAACAAACTTTTCTGGATTCATTCATTCTCTCTCTCCCCCCACCCCCCTTATTATTTATTTATTTATTTATTTATTTATTTATGCGGTACGCGGGCCTCTCACTGTCGTGGCCTCTTCCGTTGCGGAGCACAGGCTCCGGACGCGCAGGCTCAGCGGCCATGGCTCACAGGCCCAGCAGCTCCGCGGCATGTGGGATCTTCCCGGACGGGGGCACGAACCCGCGTCCCCTGCATCGGCAGGCGGACTCTCAACCACTGCGCCAGCAGGGAAGCCCCCCCTTATTTTTTAATAATGCTCTTAGGAAAGCCTTAAAGATTTGAAAAGCCAAAGCCAGACTGCTCTGATTTTCCTACAGTTACATGATTTCATGTTTTACATAATTCCTACATTCAGATTCTGAATACCCTTCACCTGAGAAATAAATTCAGAAGTAAACTGCAAACAGCTTTTCACAAGTCAATGAGTGGCTGTGAGGAGACCCAAACTCCACAGTTAAATCTTTATTCCTAAACTCAGCGGTTCCTTTTATCTCCAAATTGCCTTAATTGTTCCTAATGTAGTAAGAAGAAAAAAGAGGATATTATTTATAAATATGTAATATTTTATATAGGCAATACATATACATAATATCATGCATATAATATACATATATGCATATGTCATACATATTATATAATATATATTTATAATAAATATATAAGCAAAACTGCCTTAAAATGGCAGGCTCTTTGTTCTGCAAGCATATTAACCGGGTATCTGCACGTGTAAATCTTAGAAACCAGCTGAATTCTTCTCTGTACTGAAGGGAAGAGTTCTTAGGGAATTCTGCAAGGAAAGGTAAAGAGAAAAGAGTGTAGAGAAGCAGGAGAGAAAATCCCAAGGCTGGGCCTCACCTCCCATGATCCCCATATCTTCTCACTGTGATCCCTGAATCTTCGGTTAAGACAACTAAATTCATCAGTGCTTCTTGTGACTAAAGTTTTTGAAAGGCAACTCTGGGGCACAGATCCAGCCAGTGTGGGACAAGGAAAGGGGAGGAAGAGTGTGTGAAAAGGGCAGCCTCAGGGAACCAGAAGACATCTTAGGGAGGGCTGTGGCATCCCAAGAAGTGGAATGACCAGGACTCCAGCCAGCGCTGCCCAGCTCCTGAGAGAATGGAAGGCTCCAGCCGACATGAGGTCACACTAATCCAGAATCTGATCAATGACTCAATGGACCAAATTCTTATTCCTACAAAATCATCTGTGATGGGCCTAAAAGAAGAAAGAAATCCGAGTAAGAGCTCCTCACAGATAATAACTCACCCCTGCATAGCTAGTAATCAGCCTGAGGCCTCAATTAATTTTGTAGAAAAAGTAGTTATATTGAGGGAAGCAAGTGGACAGTAGTCCCGATGGTATATGACTCCTCACGGCGACCCCCCCCCCATGGTAGGTACCAGACTTTCCCAATGGTATGGAGGATGGCATCACATGTTGTACTTTAGGACTGCTCATTTGTCTCTCACTGAAAATGTGAGTTAAAACATTTCATACTCACTGTCTTAGTCTGATCAGGCTGCCATAGCAAAATACCATAGCCTGAGGGGCTTAAATGACAGACATTTAATTCTCACAGTTCTGGAGGCTGGAAGTCCAAGATCAAGGTGTCAGCAGGATTGGTTTCTGGTGTGGTTGCTCTTCCAGGCTAGTATACGGCCGCCTCCCCTCTGCGTCCTCACACGGCCTTCCTTCTGTGTACCTACAGAGGGAGAGAGATCTCTGGTGTCTTGTCCGTCCTCCTCTTGTAAGGACACCAGTCCTATCAGATTAGATCACCACCCTTGTGAACTCATTTACCCTTAATTACTTCCCTAAAGGTCCTATCTCCAAATACAGTCTCATTGGTGGTTAAGGCTTTAGGATATGAATGTAGGGCAGGGAGGAGGGGCAGGAACAGGGGACACAATTCAATCCATAAGTTATTTAGCAGGTGTTCTGCAGGTTTGCTAGAGAAAAAGAGAGAGGATATAAAAGGGTTTACATTCCTGGCAAGCCGACCCAGAGCAAGCATTGCCAAATTATAATATTAACAACTGCTAACATTTATTCATCGCTTACTATGGGCCAAGCACCATTGTAAGGACTTTGCATATTGTAATGCTCCAAACAACACTTTGAAGTAGGTACTGCTTATATAGAATAGATAACTAATAAGAACCTACTGAATAGCACAGGGAACTCTGTTCACTACTCTGTAATGACCTATATGGGAATAGAATCTAAAATAGACTGGATATATGTGTACGTATAACTGACTCACTTTGCTGTACAGCAGAAACTAACACAACATTGTAAGTCAACTATACTCCAATTTTTAAAAATTAATTTAAGAAAAAGCAGGTACTGCTATCATCCTCATTTTAGAGATAAGGGACTTAAGAACAGAGAGGTTAATTGACTTACTAAGATCACAGAGCTAGAAAGTGACTGAGCCAGGATTCAAACCCCAGCATTAAATTCCAGAGTCCATGCACTTAACTACAGCATTAAAATATGGACAAAAAAGGCAATGTTTTAAAGGCATGAGTGGGCCCTTTATCAAGAAGTAAGTAGAGTATATGAACAATAATAACCTTCGCAGAATCACCAGTGATGGTTAAATGAGGGTGTAATTGGACTAACGTTAATTTTGTTTTAACCAGCAGCCCTGCTCTATAAGTTATTAAGTTTATTTTAAGTGCTATAAATTATGCAGACAAGACAATAAGGAAGTTTTTCTTTTTAATTGTATCTTCAAGTGCTTCAGAGGCCTGGAAAACATTTGTCCATTTCTACAGACCTTAAAACCCTGACTTTCTTTCCATTTAGATGAACAAATAAATAAAAATCAGTATGCACGGCTGATGTCTCTCTTGTTGTATAAACTTGACAGAATCAAAGCTCTTCCAATACTGCCCAGAATGTATTTTCCAGACACGAGGGCCTTTGAGAGATTGTCCTTCTGGGTTCTTCACAGACACATCAGTCGTGCTTTTCTTCTCTGTAAAGTCTGGCAGAGGGCCTCGCTGATTGGGGTTCTTCACCTGGAGCCCTGGGTGTGAGCGTCCCCTGGTGAGCAGCTCCTCTTTGGGGACTAAGAACTCCAAACAAGCAGAGCTCAAGGTAGTCGGGATGGGAAGCAAAAACTCTATGATTGAATCTATGGGTTCAGTGGCAAACAAGCCACTTCCACCCCTGGATTCCAAGACCCGTATATTCTGGCTATGAGGGAGATAGCACCATATATGTTCTCTGTTTCAAACGTGTACAATATCCTTCACAGCATTTACAATATCCTTTAAGATAGCACCCCATCCTTTCAGGATGTTGACTCCCATCTGACACAGGAACTGAGTCTTCATAAGCCATTACATTGTACTTACCAGTAAGCTTTCAAAATTTGCTCAGTTGCTTCTAGGTGATATAGTACATGGTTAGACCAGTTAATTCCATGGCCAAGAGCCCATTGCTGCATTCGCTTTGCTGTGAGAGAAGCGATGCTATGGAAGTCATTGATCAGAAGCAATGCTACGGAAAGTACCATGACGGTGAATAAGGTGTTCTTTGGTCCATAGATAGTGCTCCTGGCAGAAGCATCGTGGGGCAGGGAAGGCGCATCCACACCTAGAATGTATCTACTCCAGTGAGGACAAGTCTCTGCTCCCTCCAAGATGGAAGAGGTCCAGTGTAGTCAACCTGCCACCAGGGCATCAGTATTGATCTCTGGTGCTGACATAGTAAGCCCTCAGCATTGGTGTTGGCAGGGTCAGCCTTAGTAAGGTAATTTCAGAAACACGAAGTGAGCAAATACTGTTGGAAAAATCGCACAGGTAGACTTGCTCAACACAGGGTTGCCACAAACATTCAATTTGCAAAAAGACATAATATCTGTAAAGCACAGTAAAGTGAAGCATAATGAAATGATATATGCCTGTATCCTAAATATATATAAATGTAGATATATCCTAACATATATATTATATATTCTAATATATATATATATATCTCGTATATATCTCGTGATACATATAATACATATAATCATCTGTTTTTCTGGTGATGCCTAACACGTATCCAATCAAACCACTATCAACTGCCCAAGAGTTGGTATCCATCTGTACTGCTGGCCATCTCTCAGTCTGGACATTGTGTACAACTAAGTATGTTGCTCAGAGTTCTACCCATGGGAATGTTTTCCCTCACCAGCGTCCTTCAGTATCAACCCTGAGTGGCAGGCACTGAGTGATACTAGCATACAAGACAGAACAATCTGTAAACCAGGCTTATAGTCGATTCTATAGGTGGGTCCAAGTAGCACATTC